TAATATTTTTTTATCACATCAATAATTTTTTTTCTTCTTTTTCAACCACATATTTCCCATCATATCACTATTCAAAATCAATTCTTCCCCCAAAAATCCCTCCCAAACAAGCTCTAATAATTTTTAGTTAAATTTTAATTTTGAATCGCACCTTTTACAATTAATTTTTTTTAATGGTATTCCATGCACTATTAGTTGACATATGTATCTCTAAGTTTAATTAAATAGTGAGTTTCAATTTTGTAATATACGTCAATTTAAACAATACTCATAAGATAATTGTTATTCTAAATTATAAATTATAAGATAATTTAAACAAGAAAATTATAAATTACTTATAATGAAACCAAACATGGTCATATAACTCGATACGATAAGAGATCTATTCTAACTTGAATGTAAGTCCATTCTACTTGTGACAGTGTATAACGTAATTTTTATTCTATCTACAATACAAGAATCTTAATAGCTATCAACATCGAGTCCTTATCTCTAACGAAAACCACATAGAAATTCTCTCCCTATTTCCCCATATTTAAGGTGTACTCAACTTTTAAAATAAAAACATTTTTATTTTAAGCACATTTCGAAAATTGAAACTTCAAAAAAATGCGTTGGAGAACAACAATGTTCGTTTGAAGTCAAGAGTTTTTTGAGTTATTCACATAATAGTAGTCTAATGTCATAAAAGGCATATTCTTTCCTTAATGAATATCGATTGGTTTTCAGATAAGACGATTAAAATGCAATCAAACAAATCGTATCATAGATTGGATTATGAATTAAAGTCACGACAACGTCATATAAATGACCAAAGACGCCTCTTTTTTCGCTTATATGATTGTGATTGATGACCATAAAATGTTTAGTGTCCTTTGGACACCTCATGATTTTTAGATAAGTAAGTTAAAAAGAGATTGGGGTGAAAATGGAATTGGATGCATCTAAATCACTTGTGCAAGTCTTTAAAATTCAATTATTGAGAGTTAATCATGATTTACACTATTTTTATGTATACAAGGCCTTCACCTATCATGATCATATATAATTCTAACACTTTTTGGCCGTATATTGCAATGCCACGACAAAACTATCAATCGTAGAAAGCNNGACAAAACTATCAATCGTAGAAAGCTATCTCCAACACATAATGGCTCTTTTGATGTCATGGTCGGAACTAAAATACAACCAGGGCATGAACATTATTAGACGAGAATGAACAATTTGCATTAAAAATATTAAAAGTTTTCGCCAAATGTGGATAAAAATTAGATATTTAGTAGATTTTGATAAAATGTGTGAATGAAATATTGATAAAAAATTGTGGGTCTATTAAATATATGATTGAAAATAAGTTTGAAGAAAAATGCACTTTAAGAAATGATAATTAAAGGAGGACTAAGATTTTTTAAAAGTTACTTTCATTTTTATACTTTTTTTTATTATATAGTTTTACTTTACAGATAATCCCTACTATAATAAAAGAGC